CAACCTTTTCCCATTTGTCTTAAGCTACAAAAATATTTGACAGCAGCATTTTTTCTGCTAAAGGGCACTCATAAGAATCGAAAGTTAACAGTAATAGTAAATTATAGTTAACAAAAAACAAAGAAAGATCCAAGTATTCGATCAAGAATATTAAGAAAAAAAGTATAATATTGGAACATCTAGCAGATTGCAAAAGAAAAAGTATTTTATACAAATTACTATGAGATCTTGTTAGAAGATGTATTTAGGACTGCTGATGTGGATTCATAAACGTTGCTCAGTTGAATGTTTCAAATTGTTCCTATTTTTTGGTGTTGGTTATTTTTTGTTATTCATGTTTATGGTCATGGCGTAAACTTAGGACCATGATTTTAGTGGGTCATTATTAATTAAGCTTTAAATTGTAATGTTTCTGATGTTAAGAAAATGAAGTTTTTTTTGCTCCAAAATATGTTGCTCTCAATTTCCATTTGCCTTTACTATAGCAATACTCTGTTTTTCTTTTCTTATTCAAAATTAATAACATTGGTATCAAAGCTTTCTTCTTAAGGAATTTGTGTGTAAATTTGATGGGTCATGAAAGTCGAAGCCAGTTTCTCCGTAATTGCTCCGACGGTGTTCGATGGAGACAACTACCAGATTTAAGCAGTAAGTATAAAGACATACTTGAAAGCTTTAGATTTTTGGGAAATAATGGAAGAAGACTATCAAATTTTTGCACTTCTGAACAATCTCACCATGGCACAGATGAAAGCGTAGAAAGAAAAGAAGATAAAAAAAATCAAAGGTAAAGGCCTGTTTGTTTGCTATAGTCTCATCCACCATCTTTACTCGTATCATGTCTCTGAAGTCAGCAAAAGAGATATGGGATTATCTCAAAAATGAGTATGAAAGAGATGAAAGAATTAAAAGAATGCAAATCCTGAACTTGATCAGGAAATTTGAACTTCAAAAAATGAAAGAATCTTAGACAATTAAAGAGTACTCCGACAGGCTTTTTAGTATCATAAACAAAGTGAGGCTTTTGGATCTGAATTTACTAACTTAAGAATTGTAGAAAAAATTCTTGTTTCAATACCTAAAAGATATGATGCAACCATCACTACTTTAGAGAATACCAAGGATCTGTCAAAAATTTCCTTAGTAAAATTGCTTAATGTATTGCAAGCATAAGAACAAAGAAGGCTGATGAGGGAGGATACAACAACCGAATGAGCTTTAGTAGCCAAGCATCGAAACGTGCCAAAAATAAAAAGAAAAAAAGGATTTTGAATGAAATACGGTAAGTACAGCATCAAACAATGCAAAAGAAAAGAATAAAAATAAAAAAAAATCTTATCCACCTTGCCAACATTGTGAAAAGAAAAGTCATCCTCCATTTAGAGCTAGAGAAAACCTGATGCTAAGTGCACTAAATGTAATTTGATAGGGCATGAAGCTGTTATTTACAAAAATAAAAATCAACAACATGGTGAAAAGGCAAAGATTACTGATCAAGAGAAGGAGGATCCCTATTCGTCGCTACATGTTTCTTTGGCATCAAATCAAGTGAAAGTTGGCTTATAAACAGTGGTTGTACTAACCACATAACACATGACAAGGATTTATTCAGGGAACTAAGCAATGCAAACTTATCAAAGGTTCGAGTTGGTAATGGCAAGTACATAACTATGAAAGGAAAAAAAAATAGTTGCAATTTCAACCTGTTTAGATACAAAATTCATTTTTGATGTGTTGTATGTTCTTGAAATTGATCAAAACTTATTAAGTGTTGGACAACTAATTAAAAAAGGTTATAAAGTTGTGTTTGAAGACAAAAGTTACTTGATTAAAGATGCAATTGGCCAAGATATTTTCAAAGTAAAAATGAAAAGAAAAATACTTTGCTCTGAATCCATGAAAAGATGAGCAAACTACTTTTCTAATCAAAGAAAATATCACTGAAGTATGGTACAAGAGGCTTAGGCACTATCATCATCAAAGGCTACTATAGATGAAATTCAAAAAAATGGTAAATGATCTTTCAAAACTTGATGATCATATTCCAAACTGTAAAGCATGTCAATTTGGAACGCAAAGTAGGAAACTATTTTCCAAGGCAACATAGAGAGCATCAAATAAGCTACAATTAATTCATACTGACAATGTATGCCCATAAAGAACGCATTCTCTGAAAAGTAGTCTTTATTATGTTGCTTTCATTGATGATTTCACCCATATGTGTTAGATCTTCTTTTTGAAGCACAAGTAGAGGTGGCTCAAGTTTTCTAGAACTTTAAAGCCAGGTTGAGAATGAGAGTGGCTATAAAATTCAAACTCTCAGATTAGACAATAGTAAGGAGTACATCGCTGAAACATTCAATCATTTTTGTGAGGAGATAGGCATCCAACATCAATTAACTGCTCCATACACTCCACAACAAAATAAAGTAAGTAAGAGACATAATAAATTCATATTGGAGATGACACGATGTATGCTACATAAAAAGAACTTGCTAAAGCAATTCTAGGTTGAAGCAGAAACACTGTTATTTTTTTTGTAAAATAGACTTCCCACAATAAACACCCTTTGAGGCATGATATGGTTATAAACCATCTTTGAATTTTTTAAAAATATTTGGATGTTTGTACTTCACTCATGTTCCATAGATCAAGAGAGATAAATTAGATAAAAGAGCACTTGCAAGCATCTTCATTGGCTATAGCTCAGTTGTAAAAGCTTATAAAGTTTTCCAGCCATAAATTAAAAAAATTATGATAAGCAGGGATGTGCACTTTATGAAAAAGAAAGAGTGGAACTAGGATGATGTAAAAAAGATGGATCCAACCTCAAAAGAGCCCAAGCTCAAGTTTCTTATTTTGGACATAGCAGAACAAAGCATTAGAGACTGAAAAGAATGAAATGGTGGATGATAGTCCTATTAAAGGCACAAGACTATTTTATAATGTTTATCAAAGATGCAATATTACTGTGTGTGAACCTACAGATTATGAAAAAGCCAAGACGGATCAAAATTGAATTCTACAATGAAAGAAGAGCTGTTCATGATTAAAAGGAATAAAACATGAGAGTTGGTTGATTGACCCCAAAACAGAAAGGTAATTGAAGTCAAGTGGGTATGCAGAACCAAACTTAATGCTGATGGCTCAATCAACAAGAATAAAGCTAGACTCGTGGTCAAAGGATATTCTCAAATACTTAATGTGGACTATTCAAATACCTTTACACCAGTCGCTAGACTCAATACTATCAGGCTCTTACTTGTCGTTACAGCACAAAAAAATTAGAAGGTGTACCAATTAGATGTCAAGTCAGCATTCTTGAATGGTTTTCTACAGGAGGAGATTTATGTAAAGCAATCGAAAGGCTATGTAAAGGAAAGAGAAGAAGACATGGTCTATCTTTTTAAAAAGGTACTTTACAGATTGAAGCAAGCTCTAAGAGCTTGGTACAGTAGGATTGATGAACATTTATAGAACTTGGGATTTGCTAAAAGCTTATCTGAATCAACATTATATGTCAAGCATAATAGAGCTAACATGCTTATCATCTCACTATATGTGGATGACCTACTTGTGATAGAAAACAACACAAGTATTATGAAGAAGTTTAAGCAAAAGATGATGGAGTTTTTTTGGATGACAGATCTTGAATTGATGACTTTCTTTCTTGGAATGGAAATCAAATAGAATGAATATGAAGTCTTCATCTGTTAGAAGAAATATGTCAAGAAGATTCTGAAGAAGTTTAAACTTGAAGAATGTAAAGAAATGAGCACATCGATGAACTTAAAGGAAAAGCTCTGAAAAGAATATGGAATAGAGAAGATTGATCAAGTATATTTCAGAAGCTTGATTGGTTGCTTGATGTATCTCACAACAACTCACCTTGACATTTTGAATGTTGTAAGCATTTTATCTCAGTTTATGCACTATGCAAGCAAATGGCATCATAAGGCTGTAAAGAGGGTGCTTAGATATGTGAAAGGTACATGTGATTTTGGCATTAAATACACAAGGAACAAAGAATTCAAGTCGATTGGTTTGTCAGATAGTGATTGGGGCTGTTCAATTGATGATATGAAGAGCACTTTAAGCTACTGTTTCACACTTGGTTCTAGTGTCTTCTCATGGAGCTAAAAAAAATAAGAAATTGTAGCTCAATCCACAATTGAAGCGGAGTTTCTTGCTACAACAACTACTGTTAATCAAGCTTTTGTGGCTAAGGAAGATTTTAATCGATCTTAACTTGGAGCAAAAGGAAAGCACAAAAATTCTTGTTGATAACCAAGCTGCTATTGCTATCTCTCAAAATCTTGTATTTTACGAGAAAACTAAGCATTTTAATATTAAGTTATTCTTATTAAAAAAAGTACAGAAAGATGGAGCTGTTGTTCTTGTCTATTGCAAAATAGAAGATCAGGTTGCAGATGTTTTCACCAAGCCATTGCTTGTTAGTAAGTTTGAATTTCTGAAGACAAAATTTGGTGTTTGCAGCTCCTAAAGCAAGGAGGAGTGTTAGAAGACATGTTTAGGACTGTTGATGTGGATTCATAAACATTGTTTAGTTGAATGTTTCAAATTGTTTCTATTTTTTGGTATTGGTTATTTTTTGTTATTCATATTTGTGGTCATGGCGTAATCTTAGAACCATGATTTTAGTGAGTCGTTAGTAATTAAGCTTTAAATTGTAATATTTCTGATGTTAAGAAAATGAAGTTTTCTTTGCTTCAAAATACGTTGCTCTCAATTTCCATTTGCATTTACTATAGCAATACTCATTTTCTTTTCTTTTTCAAAATTAATAATAGATCTATATATGTTTCATATATTCTTTCAGACAATCCAATCATAGATGTTCCTCTTCCAAGAGAAAAGCACTAGCATGGATGACAGAGAATTGCAGATAATTCTCCAACAATTTTTCACTTAAAATAAAAGAGCAAATCAGGAATTCAGTGGCAACACAGATATGACTACTATTTACTAGTACAGTAAAGGTTCTTGACCCTAGAGCAATTTGCACAAGAAAGATACATATTTATCAAGGCAAAGGCATGGGTGGTTTCCAATTATGAAATTCCACTAAATTTCTATTCACAATAGTCCCATTATGAAGCCAGAATGTCTCAGCCGATTGGTGGAACAGCCTGACTTTTCTCTGGAGTTCCCATAGGATTCCATGCATTGCTGAACATGGTTCTGATTCTGGAGCATAAGTCCATAAGCACTTCACTTGTCTACCACGGGCTATCATAACCTCTATAACTTCATCTGAAAGGAAACAGAAAGAAAAAAAAATGAAAAGTTGAATTGTAGATATCAGGCAAACATGCAAAATGGTGATTCCAACCAACCTGGTATAGATTCAAGGTACTCCAGAAGTTGGGGACCTATCCGAGTAGCTGGCCATTTTATTGTTATCCGAGTGTAGTCAATTACATTCTGAAAAGGTAATTCTATTTGATCTGATATGATAACTGGAACACATTCCTGTGCAACGAAAAATCACCAGAAGAATGTATCTCAGTTGGGACAGTAACATGTTTAAAATTGCAGAAAAACAGATAGAGATGGGGAGAGACCACAAAGAAAGACTCATAGAAGCGTAGCGTCCATGATGATAATCCACGGGGAATTAGGCAGAACTTGGCGTTTCGTAGGTGTTCAAAATACTCCATCTTGAACAATTTGTCAGGAGGATCATGCTTCAAATCTGGAGCCTCCAACTGTTTGGCAAACCATTATTGTTATGAATTGTATTTTATATATATATATATAAAAGAGTCACAGAAGACAATACCTTATCTGGATATTGTTTTGCTAGCTCTATTAATTGAAGACGACCCTTCAATCCTTGTGCACGACCTAAATAATTTGCCAAGTATTTTCGGTTTGATAAAGGTAACGGCTCAACCAGGACAGCGCCATTTTTAGTGATCTCATCATCAACATTACCGGGAATGATGATATCTTTCCATGTATTGAAGGAACTTGAGTTTTTATTATCAGTTCGATCCCCCTACATATACTCAACATTCTTAAAATCAGTCAAACAAAATGCACATTCACTATAAAATTTTTACCAATTTGGCAGCAATTTTTGTGAGTTCTAATACTATTTAGTCAGAATTTAGGAACTTCAATCAGTAATCATAAATGCATATATACGCCGAACCAAGCAAGCATTGTACCTCGGGAGTAAGAAATATGGAACGGTTTAAGAATGTTTTCCAAGATGTGAAAAAGTGAGCTCCATTTCCACTGCATCAAGTAAAAAGGCCACAATATAGATTAAGATGAAAATATCAATTTGACATTTCATACGATTTTCGTACGAAAACAAGAATGTGTTCGACTAAGAACCAAAGAATCATATGCATACCTTGGGAAGACAAATATGTGGTCACGACCCCCAGATCGCCTGAAATATGGCATTTGACTCAAGACCTGAAAAACATCATTTGATAATAGTCATTCTAAAATAAGGATTTTGGCCATGCCTTTCCACTTATTTTTACTTGATTTTAGATTAAATAGTTGATATGATATCAGAGCGTAAGTTCCATTTTATTGTTTTTACTTATTAATTCTGTCTATTACCCTTTTCAATTTTTTGTCTCATGATAAGCTTTTATCTCGTTTACATGTAATGGAATCTATTAAAATGGTAATATTTTACATTTGTTAAATATTAAATTTTTGTAATTTTATATTTAAATTGGACCTTTTCTACATGCTTAACAATAATTCTGAAAACAAACATTAATAAAAAGTTTTAGCCTTGAAATGATTGATCATACCTCAACGTAGGTTTGGTTTATCTCTTCTTCTGTAAGTCCTTCCAGCATATGAACACATTTAACATATGCTGGCACAAAGAAGAAATCTGCTTCCTCTTTCTTTCTCGTCCGAAATCTTGAGCTCAACAGCAATCTGTGTATTTTAACCTACAAATTATTTAAGCTATCTACTTTATCACTACTGATTAAGATCTTACTTTTAGCAGTTAGCAATTGGCATGTAACGTTGGGTGCCTTATTACCTGAGTGCCCCATTGGCCTTGATAGCAAATATCAACGTCAATATTACCTTCTTTCCCATACATCAATGGCTTCAATCCTTCAATCTCATTCTCATCATAAACGTAAATCTTGAGAGAGAGGTGAGACCCAAATCCTCTCTCTGGCCACGAAATGTACCCAGCATTGAACCGCGAGATGATCAGCTTTCGTGATGAGCGGTCCTGATTGAATATTGAGCACTGACTACTGTTGTGTAGTGCCGATGGAAGATGGTCGAAGAGCCTGGTGATGAAAAGGGTGGCAACAATGAGGAACAGGGCGCTTATCGGATGGGTGTTGGTACATGGCGTCCCATGGTGCCATATTGTCTTTGTTCTATGATAGGAGTTTAAGGTTCTCATTAGAGAACCAAAGCATGAAAATCCAATGTTAGGGAAGGAATTAGAACAACATCAATATATCAATGGCTTGTGATTCCATCATTATTTAATACTTGAAGAGTTGTGAATTTAAAGGTTTTAATTGCTGTATTAATTCCTTGGAAGCGATAGCTAAAATACGTGATTGGGGTATGAAATACGAGTCCATATGTGACTGAATTCATGGGTGACATGCATTTTCAATTATCAATTATGCTCGTCACAATGCTATCTATATTATGCTGCTGCATTCTTCATATGCTCAGCATCGACAAGGAGCTAAATTCATGACTTCATGTCCTAAATAAGTTGTGAAAAGATTTATACATTTCACATTTAAACTCATTAAATGTTGTACTTGCCGAGCCTCTCACACATGTATGAAAAAGGGCTGTAGCTTGGCTTTCATATTATGCTCAGAAAGTGCCCTGCCCTTCCTTATCCACAAACAATTCATGTGAAACTCTCCTTCTCAGCCTGTTTCTGAAACAACATTCTCTTGGCAAACGACCTTGATTACCTTTGCTAATGGTCCATTTATTTGGTCCATAGCTACAAGCCAATGTGCAATCATATATACTTAAAATTGTAATAGCCTATGTTATCTATGTTCCCCAGAGACCCCTACTACATCTTAGATTAAACTTCTACTATAAGCTTGATAGAATTGTTGAGGACGAAATTTATGAAATGAAAGAGATTATGTAATTTAAAATTCTCGGGTAGGAAAAATAAAACATATTTTACAATTCTTTTCACAAGGAATTAGAAAATTGAAAGAGCAATCTTAAGTTGTCTATAAACTTTATGGGATTGTTTGACATTGTTGTCAAATTTGTGTTTTGAAATTTTTTATTTTATTTTATTTTTTAATTTATTGAATTTGAAAATATATTTAAGTAAAATATTTATTGCAAAAATTTTTCAACGGAGATTTTCAAGGATGGTTACAGCTTTAAATTTTAAAAATTGCAGGGGTTTGAATCCTTTCCCAATCAAGTTTTGATGAATCTTTTATTTTCATTTAATAAAATTGGCACTGTGGCAGAGCGGACGAACAGTACCAGTTGGTAACAATGTTGAAAACTTTCCAAAATTTTGGAAAAGTAGGTTTTTTTTTTCTTTTATTTTCAATTTTTTTTTTTGGAAATAAAAGCACTCTAATAAAAAAATATTTTACTCTAATTTTTAGACAAAAATGAAAACAAAAACATAAATCATAAATCATAAAACAAAAACAACCCCAAACAAACCCAAGCTTACAAGACAATTAATTATAGAAAGAAAGAATCAAAGTAATCTAATTTATAAACGTTAAAGCTTACAACTTACTACCTTGCAACTTGGCTAGAACCTCCAATTTTAGAAATTGAGAACACAACTTTCACTAGCTGATTCCTCCATTTCCCTCGTTTTCGTCTTTGGCCAGCTAGTAACCTCATGCAAGTTGGACAAATCTTTAATACTTCAATGGACTTCACCACAAAAAAAGAAATAATAATAGTAGCAAGGACAGCATCGAGATGCAAAGACCATTTTAATTGATCTGATAAGTCAGAAAGCAAATTTCTCTGCTGTATTGAACTTAATAGTCTGAAAACTTCAATTTGCCGGAAGTTGATTCAATGATTTAATTAAATGTTACAGAACTTAATGTGGCTTCCAATGGTTTTGTTCTATAACTACTTTCTTTCCTTTTTTTTTTTTTGTAATTTTTTGGTTGACATAAATTCAATGATAAACTGTGAATTATTTCATAACTAAGCTTGATAACTTTGTTAATTACGACACATAAAAGCTCTCTTTTCATATGGTTATTTCCCCTGCAATTATATCACAATTTTTAGTAAATCTGACAATTTTAATATAACATGATACTATGATACGAAATTGATTAAAAAAAACATCAAAGCATTTTAAATTTTTAACAAAAATTATAAATAGGTTCGATAAAAAAACTTGTTTTGTGTTTAACATATTAAAATAATCTGTGACATAGCAATTTTTGCATTAATTTATATATGTTTGATAGGAAATTAACACAATTAAGATATACAAATTGTCAAGTTTAGTTTTTAGTTATACTTGGATTAGGTGTACAAAATTATTGATTTAAACAGGAACAACTCAACTGTTTTTGCTGATATTAACACATATGAATTAAGAAATGAAATTGCTTTTTTGAATTCTTCATGATCACTCAAGAAACTTCCACCAATATCAAGCATTGAAGTTCGTTTCCAAGTAATTAACTTTGTTAATTACAGACACAAAAAGCTCTCTTTTCATATGGTTATTTCCCCTGTAATTAGATCACTGTTTCTAGTAGATTTGATAATTTTAATATAACATGATAGAACAATATGAAATTGATAAAAAAAAAACACCAAAACATTTTAAAATTTTAACAAAAATTATATATAAGTTTGATAGAAAAATGTGTTTTGTGTTTAACGTATTAACATGAATTAAGACATTATAATTTTTACATTAATTTGTATATGTTTGACAGGAAATAAACGTTACTAAGATATAGGAATTGCCAAGTCTAGTTTCTGGTTATGCTTGTATTAGGTGTACAAAATTATTGATTTAAACAGGAACAACTCAACTGTTTTTGCTGATATTAACACATATGAATTAAGAAATGAAATTGCTCTTTTGAATTCTTCATGATCACTCAAGAAACTTCCACCAATATCAAACATTGAAGTTCGTTTCTAAGTAATTAACTTCCCCTTGTTGCTATACTTTATCAGGCCCCTCATGTATAAATTCCTTGAACCAGGCCTCTTCACATACAAAGTACACAATCTGGAATCTGCCTTAATTTGTTTATCTGAAAATGACATACATACCTATTACCTAGTAGCATTTATACTGCTAAGCTTCATAATTTCCAGTGAAACTGATCAATTAACTGCATTGCAAAGTCGCCGAATCTCTCCTTTTGAACCTGTTTTCACCCCAATGTTTCCCATGTTCACCATTGCTTTAGCGAAATCAGCATTAAAAGATGGTCTTGTTCCAGAACCAGCAGAGCTGATATAAGAGTCAAGTATTTGCTTGGTGTTTTTGTCATCGTAGAGCCTAGCATCGGATGCTATCACCGCGTTTCCATCTCTAATGTTACGCAAGATTTGAACATCAAATACATTCTGAGTCGACCAATCAAGAGGGATTCGGACATTGACATCTCCATTTATGGGGCACTTAGCTTTGAGTCGTGGTAGGATGCGACGGTTGATTGCTGGATCAGAGCTTCCCCCTGTGGTGAAGTTGTAGAGTCTGTTTCTCATGAAAAAACAGGCTGTCACTCCAATTGTATGTGCACCTGAAATACAACTTATCTCTAAGTATATATGAATTTCAGGTCCTCAAAAAACATTGAAATCGAAAGAATAATAGTTTTGAATTTATGGATCAGGCCATTAGGGACATACCACCACTAAGAAGAACAAGGTCCTTATCAGAAAGACCCTTTTCCCTAAACTTGGATTTGAGAACACTGATTGAATCGTCAACATCTGGCAAGCGGCCAGCCAGAGACATCTTTGAGAGCCGTCCATCTTTGCGGCCAGTTGGAATATCATAAAATGGCCCCTTAACCTGCACAAACCAAGAAAAAAAAACTACGTTTATTTTGCTTTGCAGAAGGCAAAAGAACATAAAAATTTCCAAATGAATGTACCAAGGATACAGCATCTCGTGCAGCTAAAGCCACTATGTCAGCGCAAGAAACAATTCCAGGGCAAATATTTTCCAACTGTGCTTTGGCACTCTCAATGATGTTAAAACCAAGAACTCCCAAGTTTCCTTTTGCTTTCAATTCACCATCCACATCATTTCTTATCAGTATTGACCCATCACAACCCTGAAATTAAATGGTATATCAAACAAAAAAAAATCATTAAGATTGTTTGATTTGAGTGGTTTCAGGAAGAGGAACAGAGAGAGAAGGGAAAATTAGAGACTTCAACAAAGCAGTCATGAAAGTGAAGCCTTAGCAGTATTGCAGCATTCCTAGGATTGTTAGACACCGCTTTCTGAACAACTTTGTGGATGATAGACTCAGCATTTGGGCATGTTTTTGAGTAGAAACCTACTCTTAGTTGCCCTCGTGAAACACCTAAAGTGTTAGGAATTACAATAAGCAAAGCCAAAATCAGGGCAAGTAGAGTACTGTCTTTGTGCATTTTGGAAACCGGAAACGTCATTGAACAAGAGAGTGGATGAGAGACTAGAGGGAGTAATAATAATAAGAGAACAAAAGAAAGAGTGTTTTCGAAGGGATAGCTTAATTTTGAGTTATGGTCTCTTTAAATATGGCAGTTGAATTTATGTCCCCCTTCACTGCTACCTTTGTCCGTTCCCACTTTGATTTAGCTTATCAAATACTATTATTTCATGTAAAAAGTTGCCATTAATAAACTAAAATTTGTTACCCTAAGATTCCAATTTTGAATTTTTTTAAAAACTCAAAGATGAAGAAAAGAGTTATAAACGTTGATATTTAAATTACAAACTATATAAATCAAGAAAACTAAATTTGAATTCAATTTAAACTTATTTTTATTTGTTTGAGCTTTTAATGTATCACAATTAAACAAGCACACCTACTCATTAACACCGGTATCTTAGCCAACATTAGCTAAATTAAGTATTAAATTATAATTAGTTGGCATTTCAAAAGGTTTGGTTATATATAAAATGCAATTTTGCAAACAATAAAAGGAAGAAAAAATTAAGCATGTCAATTCATTTTTTTTATCATATCTGTTTTCATATTAAATATATATAAAATACAAAAATTGTTATCATAATATTTGTTGTATACGATTTTTGTTAATTTTAAATTATATTATTTTTATATTTTTTTATCGTATTTAAAATGATCAATTATAGAAAAAATAAAACATATTCTAGAGCGTTTCACTAGATAATGCCCTCAAGTTTTTATAAAAGAAAACTTTAAAAAAAATTTCGTAACGAAAGAAAACTTTTAAAAACCGTTTAATAATTTCTTTTCCCCAAACGAAGTTTGTTATCTTAAAAGGATTTTGCTTCACTTTTAACACTCAACTTCGTTGCATGGAAAAGCTATTACAAACTGAAGCCTATATTGTCCTCTCCTCCTTTTAGATAAGCTTGACCATGGATTTTATCGTGATTGTGAAGTAATACTTTTTCGCTTTCTTTCCAAAATTGAAAAAGTCAAAGAAAAACTTCCGTTGCAATACCATATAACGTTGTTGCCTTTTTCCGGAAGTGATGGTTAGAAGTTATATAGTTCCGGATGTTCATGCTCTTTTTGTTAGAAAAATACATTTTTCTCTTCTTTATTCCTCGTCTTTTTTTTCCTTTTAAAAAAAAAAAAAAATCTGATGAGAGAAGTGAAGGCTATTTCTAGTTTCAGTTGTTGTTAGACTTAGCAAAGTTTGATTGGAATCTAAAAAAATCCCATCAACTCGCTTGAATCAGTCCAAAACAAATCGTTGAGCTTGAACACTTAAAAATATTAACTCAAATAAATTCAATTTTAAATTGTTTGATTTTAAAAATTAATAATTATGATTTAAAATTGTTTAAATAAATAATTCAAATATCAAATTCAAATCGTTAAACCCAAAATTATTTAAATCTGAAAGAACATGGATTTTTTCGATCCAAAATGCCACGTGATTGATACCCAGTTGGCTAAAACGAAGGATTTCCCTGTTTCGGATATAGCTTGCTAGCTAGCTAGGAAATGCACGATAGTGTATGTTGTGGCGTTTCTGAAAGTTTGATTTCTTTATAGCAAAACATTTTCACCTAATAAAAAGAAAAAACCAAAATATTTTTCAAATTCTAGAAACAAACTAACTTGATTTCTTTCCTACAAAATCAGCTGGTTGATTACAATTATGTGGAATATAGGGCTGAACGTTTTGTTCAACCAGACTGGAAAAGCAATGTGAAAATTGTAATGTTGTTTGCTAAAGACAAATTTGTTGGGATAAGAAGAAAAATGGTGGTAACAACAAGTGATGGCGCACGTCCAGACAAAACACTTTTCATTTAGAATAAAAATTTTAAAATTTTCTTATTACATTGATGTATTCAAGCAAGCGGAAAGCGAGGAGTGTAGATGTAAACAAAGAAAGAAAAAGGAAAGTTACGCATCAGGTTATCATATCCGAATCATAATTAAATTCTCGATTTCTGGATTTAAAATTTAAAGCATTAATATTGTGAATAAACTTTAAATTATATTAAAATATTTAATGAATATTAATTTTAAAAAATTTTAATATAGTACTTGAATTATAAATATGTTAATTTATGATATTTAAATTATTATTTATCCGTTATATATCATCATTTAAAATTAATCACGTTAGATGAGAGTGTTATTTTTATCATTAAATTTATAATTCATATATCATATTAAAAATTTTTAAAATTTAAATATCATATTAAATACTTCAATAAAATTTAGAGCTATTCATGAGATTAACTCATAACACATCATTCATTTGATAATCAAATGAATGAAATGTAAAAATATCATAAAATTACAATGTGATATGTTGCAACATTTTAAGACACATGGTATTTTTTTTTTTTAAATACATTGTTCATTTGATTAACGATGTTAATCTCATATGTAAAAAAATCATAAGCAATGACATATGGTATATTGCAACATTTTGAGAGATGTAAGTTTTTATTTATTTTTAGACATCATCCATTTGACTAAAAATATTAATTTCATGTGCAAATAGATAAATTAAAACAAGAGAAGGAATCAAATTACATTAATGTAAAACTAAAGATTAAGACTGAACAAGCAGTCGATTCGGCTAATTCAGTTATAAAATCATAAATTCGATTTAATCGATTTAATTTTAGGGTAAAACTAAATCAACCAAAATATAAGATAAAACCAAAAAAATCGAAACAATTTAAGCCAGTTAGTCTTGATCGATTTTCGTGGTTTAATCGATTTTGATATGCTGTGTAATTTGAAGTGCTTTAGGCCTTATGCTACCTGCATACAAAAGAAAAAAAAGGCATATTTTTCTTCATCTGATCATTATGGGAGTGTACTAGAAAGAAAGTCAGCGCTATCAAATGTGCAGAGTGACCATTTTCTCAAACCATTTAAAAATGAGGGGGGGGGGGAATACCTTAAAGTTGGTCCAAAATATTAAGCAATCAATCCTCTTCTCATTTCCATCGATCTGTCTATATTAGACTCTAGCCAGAAAGAAAAAAGACCTATCCAAGGTGGACCCCTCAAACACCCTTGAAATTGAAGTAGAAAAGGATTGAAAACATCTAGCATTTCATCTTTAAAATTCTTTTATAGCTCATCATGAAAAAAAAACTAAAAAAATATTTTATTTTATTTTTAAGATATATTGACAGTTAATGAATAATAAAGTGATTGAGTCAAAAAGACAATAAGGAAGCTATGAATTCCATACCCAATAAAAAGAAATAAGTAAAAAATGGTGATTGTTGAGGCAATGGAAGACTTAAAAGCCAAAAAAAAGGTGGGGATTACAAAAAGCAAGTACAAGACAAATAGAGATTAACAAGACAAATATGATAAGTAGAGAGATCTAACAAAAGAACCCAGAAAAATAAATTCCACGTGCAAAGGAATGAACTTGTAAAGAATTACACCCCAAATTTGAAGAAATCAGAAACAAAATAAGAAGACAAGATATAAAAACTCCTACTCTAAAATTAATGCACCAGAACATACAAGATTCAAGATTAAGCCTAAATTCAAGATCGCACAAGTGATTGTGACTTGAGAGATTTGAAAGTGTGAGAACTTAAGTGAGTGTCAAAGTGGGAAATTGAAAAGAGAGTGTCATAACGTTTAAATTCGACAACTTATTCATTAGACACAAAAATATCAAGATGCCTCCATTTTTGTTTAAAGCGTAATTGATCACCTATATGAATTTATCTTTTTTAAAGTTACTTTAAGTTTGAACTAAGGATTCCTAACAAGAATAGGTTTTGGTTTATATCAATAGAGCTAAGTTTAGGAGTTAGTTACGTGTGAAAAATGTATTAGCATCTATTAGGCCCAAATTTGGTACAAAATTAATTACATGGTATCTTGTTTAAGCCTTAATCAAAGATGGTTTTTTATTAATTTTGCTATTAAAATATTGAAAAAAAGTCTTTAGGCTTTCATCAAAAAAAAAAATCTCTTACCTCAAGAGTATTTAAGATACATTCGTTATTTATTTGAAGAGGTTTCATCGTCGGATTTATTAAATATTTTATAAAAGATCAAACCTCATTCCTTTTATTTATCTACAAAATATTGTCCTACAAAAATTCTAACAAAATATTATACAATAGTATTATAATTAAAACAAGCAAAATAAATCATGCAAATATTATAAAAATCATACTAAAATCATACAAAGATCATAATAGAAATATCATGCAATAAATCATATAAAAATCATGCAAAAACATTAAATAAATAAAATACATACAAAGCATTATGTAATGAATCATGCAAATAAATTAGATCCATGCAAAATATCAGGCAAATATATAAATTATAATTGTTCAACCAAAAATATTATAAATAAATATCAAATAAATATATAAAAATTATGCAAAATAAACTATGACAATCCTATCAAAGTTTTTCTTTTTCTTTTTCTCATCACTTTTAAATCAATGACAATTAATAATAAATAAGAAAAATAAAAAAAAATAATAAAAAAAAAAAAAACTTAATAACTAAACGAGGCGAATCAAAATTTGCAAATCCGAGTCAAGTTTCCAAAAGGGCAATATGTCAGTTAAAGCTAAAAATTTTCCCTTCTTTATTCCTTAATAACCAAAATAACGTAGTTTTGGTTTGCTATAAAATCTCATTTCCAGGCTTTTCCTTTTTTTTTTGTAAATTTTTTTCTCTCTAAGCTTACTTCTCTAATTTCTTTTTATAATTGAAGAACACCAAACCTAAATCCTGATTCAAGCCACCACATCCTCCATTAATCGCCATCGTAACCGATGCCAGAGTACCCATAAACCTTTTTGCTTAATCTCTTTTTTTTCTTTCCTTCCCTTTTTCCTTCACACCAAATTTAAAGTTCTACATTTGCTAGCTTTGAAGCACTGACCACTTTAAAAAATCCTAGTGATACACCATTATGCTATTGTTCTTCCTTATTCTTTGCTTAGATTATTCTAAAACCTAAAACCCACTAAATCTAAATCTAAACCTAAACTTGTTTCTACC